AGTTAAATACTTTGGTGAAATTTGATGTTTTGAATTGTTTTGACACCATAGAATGAGTAGTATATATGTGGCTATGTGCTATTTGGGGAAAAGGAAAACTTACTGCCATTGATCTTTACCATTTAATCATCTTTCTAACAAACTTGTTTTTTCTAGTCTTACAGAGGTATTCTTTATGATATACAGAGGATTGGTGAGTCCTCCTAAGTGGATGCTTCTCTTATTCATGTTGAATGGATCCTAGTCCTTGTGTCCTATTCTATTGATTATTTCATTTTTCATTAAAAAAAAAAAGAGAATGGTTGAGAAGTTGCAACCAATAATGATTGCTTATGTCTGTTATGTAGTGAATGTTATTTGTTTAACTACAAATGTGTCCTTGTAATGTTTTGCCATGATTTCTTGTCATCTCTTCATTGTGCACCACTTTCTCTGTTTGACTTGGACTTGGCTTATATTTTCAGGCCTTCTATAACGACAAATGAAATTGATAAAGCAGTGCAACAGATGATAATTGATGCTGGTGCTTATCCCTCACCCCTTGGATATGGTGGATTTCCAAAAAGTGTGTGCACATCTGTTAATGAGTGCATGTGCCATGGAATACCTGATTCCCGGCAGTTACAGTTTTGCAAGCCTTAATTTCCCTTTTGGCCTCATCCTTAGCATGCATATGATTCATAACTAATTCAGTTTTCATTATTTGCAGAACGGTGACATTATTAACATTGATGTGACGGTCTATCTGAATGTAAGCTTCTCAGTTTTTTATGAGAATTTAGTCAGCATTACTTGAACCCTCAACCTGATTTAAAACAGCTCATTTGTTGACAGTCCTAGCACTTAATGTGGCTTCTTTTTAGTGTTTAGCTCAGTAGTTAAGGAACATTTAAGGAGTCTGTCTCATGCATGTGAGATGGAATTGTAGGGTTTTATTATATGATGCGACGTACTACTATAATAGTTGTTTGAAACTTCGGGCCTGTCTATTGGGTACCATGCTGATTGCAAGATTGCAAATATTCTCTCCTTTTCTTCTTACTCTGAGGTAGATTAAATTCATAAAATACTAAAATAACGCACTTAATTGTATAAGCTGAATGTCTTTCATGGTCTTATGATATAAGCATGCTATTTTTAGTGACCAAATTATCTGATGCGATATTTATTGCGTGTTAGGGATATCATGGAGACACATCAAAGACATTTTTCTGCGGGGATGTAAGTGATGCTATGAGAAAGCTTGTTAAGGTAAGTGTTTGTCAGCTGACGTATGTTGCATTAAGTGGTATCTTATGCAAAGATTTAGGTTATGCATTGACCACACTATTTTGTCCTATGTCGATAGGTAACTGAAGAGTGCATGGAAAGGGGAATAGCTGTTTGCAAGGATGGTGCTCCTTTTAGAAAAATTGGGAAGAGAATCAGGTACATTTGTAGGGTCATTATAAAGACAAACCTACAATGTTCTATATTCGTGAAATTGCCAGCATTTATCTTGCATTGCTTGTGAAATATGTTTCCCATTTATTATTGAAGAACAATGTTGTTTGCCAAGAGAGAGAACCTGTTAACATGACATGTATGGCAATGTGTTCCTTCTCCAATGAGAATTAAGAATAGATAAAGACACTAATTAAACTTCCTGGAGCCATCTTTAATAACACCAAATTCTATTCTGAAGCATTTACCAAGTCCATTACGGACTAGATATGGGGTTGGAGGATAACTAATAGAGGATAACTAAATAAGGCTTTAATAAAATCTATTCCTAATGGAACAGAAATAGCCAGCGGACTAATCTCGAAAATAAAAATACAATGGCACATGAGAACAGAAGATTCTAAAGAAGGCTCTTTGAAGCTACCATTGCCTGCCATCCAGCGCACCTACAGTAGCGCATGTGACACTAGCACCTGCGTAGCTTCTCTCTGCTGTATATCTAGCAGTGAGATGTGTTTCTTTGATCAACTATACAGTTGATTTTTTTTGGGTCATATTTTGAGCTTTTTCCTTACTTTTGAAACATTTCTCAGTGAGCATGCTGAAAAGTATGGCTATGGTGTAGTGGAGCGTTTTGTTGGTCACGGTGTGGGAACGGTTTTTCATTCTGAGCCAATAATTTTTCATCATCGTAAGTGAACTATCATCTGTATCATATTTTTCTCCTGTTGCTTTTACTCTCTTGCAATGGTAGCCTGCCTAACAAACAAATCCTGTTAACTTGCACGTTTGTATCTTGTTTTTCCTACGATTTATGCTAATAACTCTGGTATTCTTAAATTTTTAATAAAGTGTGCTATGAGGGCCTTGGTTATTGGTAAAGCTAATTTGCAACATTTAAGTCGGAAAATCATTTCATTTTCAACATTGATGGGGTCTGATCTTTCCATAGAAAAATTTCTGCTGATCAGTAAAGTTGAAAGGCTGGTAAATTAGCATTTGGCTTGTATTTTAGTAATTGACTTATTTTTTATTTTCTAAGAAATGATATAATCTACAAAAGGACCAAAAACAGCATTTAATATGGCATCCCGTCTGTGTTCTAAAAACTATCTGTCTTAGTTACTAATCTATTATTTTTTAAGGAACTTATATTTTTATTTCATTGCTTGACAGGTAATGACAAGCCTGGGTGTATGGTTGAAGGTCAAACATTTACCATAGGTAAGTCTATGATTATTTTTACCTAGAAACTGAAGTAATCATCTCTAACCGAAGTTATTCCTTTGGTATTGCTCTAATTTATTTCTTAACTATCCTTTCCTTTTAGACCAGTGGTTTTGTTGGGGTTGAGTGATGGCTCTTGTATAGTGTTTTAGATGATGAGTGGGGACTCTGGGCAGGGAATATTTTTTTGTTGAGATTTTCCCCAATATCTGCTCTCTCATTCTTTTCCAGTTCATAGGTAGACCACCAGCGGGAGGGTTCATTCCAGAAACAGAAATGAGGGCTGTTATGGGACAATGGGTTGTTTGGGGCAGTATGCCTTGGACGAATAACAACAGACTGGGGATGGAAATAGTAAAGGATGATTGTATGTGCTGTGAGTGTTCATGTTCACCCCAAACGTAAGTTAGTTGAAAGAGAACAAGTTAGGCAGAATTTCAGTATCTCAAAGAGGTCTTGAATCTTGATTCTCTGGAGGTAGGAGGTTTTTCTTTCTGGTTCTATTCGTTTTTCTTAAGATGCAAACTTCGAATAATGGAGTCATGGCCAAAAACAAAAATAATGAAACAATCGAATGATGGAGCTTAGCTTGGCCATGACATGGAATGTCAAAAATTGTATAAAACTCAACTCTGCTTACCCTATCACTGGAAAGAATGCTTAGCATTAGCACTACTATCTCAAAGCATGTAAGCTGATGAAGACGGGGGCCACAATATGAGAGCAGATACCGCAACACAATAAAATTAAAACCCTTCGCATGCATGCCTCTTGAAATGTCGAATGCCTAATTTTTTAGTGCGCATTAATCCCACTTTTATTCCTTGCTGCCATTTCTGCAGGGGTTCTTTCTTTTTTTCTTATAATTCAATCATCAGAACATTATAGTTATAACTAACTTGACTCCCAAGCATTAGACAGAATCTGAGAAATAAGTTGTTTTATTAACCATTTGTTAATAGTATGTTTTGCTGTAGATTTTAAATATTTTATATTGATCATGATATTGATTCAATGCTATGTCTCTCTATACCTTTCTTATATTTCCATGCACATCTTCTGATTCATGTTCAATTTCTTCATCATCAAGCTCTACACCATAATTTCTGTCATGGTATTTGGTGATCTTTGTCACCTCTTTCCTCACATCCCTTGTGTCATAGCTAGAAATGAGAATCTCAAGCTAACTGATTTGAGACTTCAGTATGAAAGCTTTAAATTCTCAATGGTTTGAATCCTTGTTAGAAGAAGCGATCTCTTGCATATAACGTAGGCATGATAACAAGACACAGGTTGCTTTCTTAACGTATTGAACGAGTTGGGCAGTGCTTGAGTCTCTCATTGTTGCCTCTCAAATTGTCTTAACGTATTGAACGAGTTGGGCAGTGCTTGAATCTCTCATTGTTGCCTCTCAAATTGTCCCTCCACCGCAGAACCTATCCTTACGATGGGAAGCATCGAGTGCATTACATGGCCAGACAATTGGACAACAGTGACTGCTGATGGGAGTCCAGCGGCTCAGTTTGAGCACACAATTTTGATCACTAGGACTGGAGCAGAAATTTTGACTACCTGTTAAATTCTGACAAGATCATGTGATTTTGAATGCTACGTGGGTCATTAATTAATTGTAAATAACTTGCCTCCTTTCTTCCGGTTCTGGTGAGAGCTATATAGGAAGGCTAGGCCAGACCCATGGAGATAGAGACACCACAGAGTAGTGAGTACCATCTTCTCTTGTGCATATGTATACGTATAGATTCATTCAATGTATGAATATTATTGTCTCTGTCAAAAACACAGAGATATCTGAGATGTGATTTTTTAGTTTTACATTTATTGTGTCAGCAAATGCATGAGTTTGCTGCTGCTAAACAGTGGAAACTTGCAATAATGCATTTTGGAGGGTTGCTGATCCTATTTGAGTAGCTCTGCAGAATAGACCTGCGCTGCAGATTATGATGCAGTGGTCAACACATAAATTCTGTTTATGTTTCAAGCTGAGGTCTCATGCACAACACTGGATTTTTAACTCATGCTGGAGATGATAATTTAAGCATTTATGTACTTGCACTTTTTGTATGCAGATTTTGTTAAAACATGTGATGATCTTTGAAAAAGAAAAGAAGAAAAGCTTAATGCAACTCAATAAATATATGAAAGAAAATTGAGAAAGAATGCCCGCAACGCTTTATTCATGCCTTATGAATATTTTCATCCTGTAAATTTTGTATTTAAATATATGGATATTGATTTCAGCTTCACATGTGAATTTTATACAAAATTATTTTACAATGAAAAAAGTAGGATGGGAAGAATGAAATCATTATTTGCCTCGATGAGAAGACATTGATATCAAATCGAGAACTTTTGTTTCATGTCTTAATTTTATTTTCGTAATTTCCCTTCCTTATGTTTTGTAAATCAAATGTCAAAAATTTTATTTTATTTTATCAGAATGTCAAGTTTCTATCACGTGGACAAATTTATGCATTTTCAAAGTGATATAAAATTGGATATAAATCATATTTTATCAGTTGACATAAAATGTTACTGTTTATATTGGTTGGAAAAATTATTTTCCCCAGCAAAAAGAAATTATATATCAAATTTAGACAACATTTGTGCATGCGCATTAAAAGGGATTACTTCTAGGGGAAAATATTCTAAAAGATCGAATTTTTTTAAATGTTGAATGATTGAGTTTTTGAAATTATTTTAAAGGGGTAAGGTCATTTTTTGAAAATAAATAAATAAATAAATAAATTATGATCACCAAAGTATCCTTATTATCTGGATTATAGTTTTGATTTAGTTGTAACTTGTAGTGGTAAATTCTCATATTAAAATTGTAATTTGTATTCATTGATTCTTAAATATTCATAGTTAAACACATAATTCACGTTCTTTATGTGTATTTAGTACTTAAAGAATTCAAATTTACAATCCCTATTACAAGAATTTACAATTCAGAGTTACAAATTTAATATTTTTTTTAGGTAGATATGGACCATGTCCTTCAAAGTACCAATGGGGATTAAGTCTAGCGGAAAGGGCTAGTCTCTCACAACGTGACGAACCAATGTTCGAATCCTGTACCCACATTTAGTATCCGACAGTGCCTCGAATAGGATTGCCTCCAATAGGAGGATACCTATGCTTTAGCAAAAAACAAATAACATTTTATTTCGTCTATAATTTCCCCTATATACTTCCAGTCTTGAGCCACTATCCAATATTTGATAATTGGTTGTGTGTATGTTAATTTTTTGTATAGTTTTGAAAGTTTGGATAAATTGAGTAATAATAGCATTCTAATCGCATCGATCCAATAATCATTTGCAAAATCATTTATACATATTTACTAATAGAATTATCATCTTAATATGATTTTCGAAGAGTTTTGCAACTCCTTACAATTAATCACTTAAAAAAAGTGCTTTTATGCAAATCAAAACAAAATTTTTCTCATATGTTCATCTTGTATACCGTAAAATTACTTTTAAATATTTCTACAAGTGTTCTTTTAAGCCTTACGATCACCCGATCAAGTTTTCAAATCTATATAAAATTCTAATTAGCCAAATTAAATGTTAAAAACTCACGTACGTCTTTCATTTTATGAACAATAGTACCACCATGACATAATTACGACACTGGTTTGCTGCTGCAGCAACTGAAAAACAACACACTTTCGGTATCACGCGAGGCGATCCAAAGCAAAAAGAAGAGCATAATCAATTATTTTAATTAATCAGATACATAACTTTTTGCATTGCAAAAGTCCTTTTATCTGCAACCAAAAAAAAAAAAAAGTACCTGAGATTCAAAAGCTCGCCGGATAGCAAAGTGGTGGGATCATATAAATCTCTTGAACAGATATATATATTTGCGAGGAGAGGACAGTTTAAGTTGAGAAGCTCTGTGAAAGAGTGTACATACATACTCAGAAAACAATTGTAGTAATCATAATAGGGCTACGGGTATTTTTGTCCTAAAAATATTAGCAAGGAGTCATGAGTATTTGAAAATTTTAATGAATTAATATTGGGAGAATTACAATGAAGTCCTAATTAAGAAAAATAATTAAAAAACAAGTTTTACAGGTTGTCATTCTCACTATAAGACTTGTTATAATAGGTTGTTGAGGTTGTTATTGGGACCTTTGGGTAATTATTTTTCTTCTGTGGGACTTGGTTATAATTTCCCCATTAATGTTACTCCGGAACTGTTAAAAAGGTAGTCATGTTACTTTTCACGTTAAAAATATTGATGATCAATGTTAATTTTATTAATATTTAATACAATATCGCTTCATTTTTAATGTACTTCGTGAATACTTTTAAGATAAAAACAATTATTAAAACAAATCACTTTATTCAAATGTCTTGGTACTTAGAAAAAGATTGATCAACGATATTGCTGCAGTTATGCCCAATCAACACAAAAACTTGTCAGTCATCTATGAAAAAACAAAATTTATTTGTTGGTTGCATTGTACCATAAGATACAAAATCTTGTTTGTTAATATATGAGACTGACAAGTTTTTCGTAATGTAATGTATGCCAATTTTATAGGCATAGCTTTTGAGGACTTTACGTACAGATATTGCAGTACGACTACATGTTGTGATGATGCACACATTTCAGAATGGCGTATGATCATTAATTAGTTTGTGACCTAATTTTATCTTTATTCACATCCATCACAAGCTAATTAATTACCATCTTTCTCAATATAAGAATTAGGTAATTAATTTTAAAATATTTTAAAAAATTATTTAAGTTAATTATTTGTCATAAATAGATATTGATCTTTTTAAATTATCATCCTCAATTATGAGTATTTAGTAATTAGAATTATCTCTTGATAGGAACTTCTTATAATTAATAGGGATATTTTAAAAATCAAAAAAACAAATTAATGTGAATTAAGGTATATTTGAGATTAAATTTAACTCTCAATTAGCTTTTATATTAACCACAGGAGATATTATTTTTGTGATCTCATGTTTATTGATATTGTAGATTCTCATTTTGGGGTCTATCGACTCCATTATTGCGTTGTTATTTGGACTTTGAATAGCTATTCCATTTAACTAGCTGCAGTATTTGCGTGGCACGAAATCTGCTCTTATAAATGAATTTTATTGTACTACTTCTCATCTTTAATACTACCTCTGATTCTATTTATGAGAGCTAGTTGACTAATTTGAGAATATTAAGGAAAGAAGTTAAAGTTAATTATTTATAATAAATAAATGTTGTCATTCCTAAAATATTATTACTAATCAAGTGTACTGACTAGAACTATTATTGTTAGAAGGACTGTCTTGAAAAAAAAATATAAATATGAGAGACAAAGTGAACTATGGTCTTATATTTAGGACTAAAATAAAAGTCAAACAAGGTCTTATATTAAGGACAGGAGGTAGTATAAGGACTAGTTTGAAATTTAATTTAGTTCTAAATGTAAAATCTGAATCCACTTTGTTTTCAATATTAATTTATTTGGCCCTTAAGTTACTACAGATTAAAAAAGCTATTTTAGTTAGTTATTTGTAATAAGTAAATGTTATCCTTCCTAAAATATTCTTATTAATTATGTGTATTTGAATTATCTATTGATAGTAATTTATTAATATATGTAACTACTATATGAATTAATCATGTGTGTCTAAATTATGCTAATAGTAATTCCTTGCTTATTTATAGCCTATTTTTCAAAAACATATATCAAGGCAATAAGGTGGGACACCACGTGATGTGAGAATCTCAAAAAATGCAAACCGTTAACTGTGATATAATACAAACATTGTGTAGGACAAAATACTTTTTGAGTGTATATGTAGACTTTAAATTTGAAGATGCCACTTTATATATAAGTTGAACAATAATATAGAGTATATAAAATGAATTTCAAAATAGATAAAAATTTTCGTTATTTAAGCTAAGTGCAGTGCTTCGAATACAGAGCTAAAGATCCACAAGAGAGAAAAGGAAGTGGAATTGCTATATATATATCTAACATAAAATTAGGTTCATGGTTTGCTATAGCTTGAGAGAAAGTGAGCCTCAGAGTAAAGATAAGGTTGATGCCATATGACTTAGAAATCACAAGTTCAAATCGTAAAAACAGCCTCTCATTGACAAAGATAAAGCTTCGTATATCTGTGCTCAGACTCCACCTGGTGAGAGCCTTTCGCAATGAACTTTCTAAATATAGGTTAAGGATAAAGCATGGGGCCATGAACAATGAAAACAAAGGAAGATCAATGCAGGGGCATTATTAAGAACAAGCATTATTCATGATAAGTGGCACTACATTCATAAATGATAATGTTGTGGACAATTGGTGCAGCTAATTATATATGTGTGCTTAGGTTAAAAAAATACATATTTCAGTTTTTGTTTAAAGACAGTATTTTATTATATATATTTAGCAATTTGGATATGGTCGTTTAATGAGAATAATTTAAAAATAAAATTTCAATTGAGAGTACAAAGGATTGAACCATTAAAAATATGGGGAAATATCTAAGGACTTGAATATTAAAAAATTTAAGTTAAAATATCTTTAAAATCACAATTATTTTCAAATATTAAAGTCATTAAATATTAATTAGGGAATTCATTATTAAATTAAGGATGTCTAGTTCTATATTTGAAAATTTTGCTGCTAATTACGTACTCAAAATGGTAATTTCCTTAAAATCCAATTATATCCTTTTTTTCTTTTTCATATATAGCAGTAAATTCCTTAAAAATTTATGCAAACTTTATTCTTTAAAAGTAGCTAGAGTGCAACATGTACATTTGCTTGGAGCCTAAAATAAGTTGCGTTGCGTTATTTATGGCTCTTGTACATTACCTTTCTACAGTTTTGATATGTAATGTTAATAATTCTAATCCTAAATATTATTTAGACTAAAATTTTGAGATCTATATTTTGAAATACAGCTTTCTCTCTTTTTTTTTAGAATAATCATATGACCTGCGTATATAACAGGGAGGATTGTTATAAAATTCCAAATAAGAAACATAATTATTAAAAAGTCCGAATGATAATAGAACAACTTGTAATGACAAGTTTCAGAATAATAAATGCTTACTTATCATTGAGACTTACTAATAATTATTTTCTTTACTTAGGACCTTACTATAATGTGTAATATCTCTTAGGGAAAAGCTATAGGGTAAGAAATTAATTAAGTTTCTTTGAAATCCAACCATCGAGAGTATAGGTGAAGAAATGAACTCCATGGTCTAAACCAGACGAAATAAATGTTGCAAATAGCTAAACGAAGAAGACATATATATATATATATATATATAATGGGGACAATTATAATAAAGTGTTAAAAAAAAAATAATTACTAATAAATTTTAATAATAAGTGAGTAGTTGTCATCTACTAACTTAAAATTCATCAGCTCATCTTGTCATGAGAATTTTTTATAATTATATTTCTTATTTAAGACTTGATACAAATTCTCCCTATATGATAAGTAATACAATTGAATAATAATATAATAAATGATAAAGTTGATAGTAATGAAAATGTGAATGAATGGAGGTGGTGTCTGAAAAGGCAAAAGGCAGCCCTGGTCCATGGTCACTCCCAGTCCTTCTGATCAAACTCTTTATTACTCTCACTCTTCTCCCTCTCCTTCTTACTCATTCATCCATATCATGTCCTCCCCAAGCCCCTAGCCCTAACCCTAATCCCTCTCTCTCTCCTCACTCTCTCTCTATCAACAGTGGAATCTGTGACTGCTCTTGTCTGCATGCATGTCTGCCCCCTTCTCTTATCTGCAGTCACTGAGTACTCTTGACCACCTTCACTATTCCTTCTCTCTCACTCTCTCTCTAATAATAATAATAATAATAAATCGAACTGCCACCTCCGGCATTTAATGCAAAGATCCTCACCTTTCATTTCATTGTTTGTCTCCTTCTCCTCTCTCTCTCTCTTCTCTCCCTCTCCCAACAACAGAGACAAACGTACACTCTCCAATTGATTATCCCAAATCTTATTCACTACGAAAAAGAAAAGCTTTAACCAACTCCTACTTCTCGTGCTATGCACCTTTCCTGTTAACCAGAAATCATATCAGACGCACATCCAACGCTTTGTTCTTCTGAATCCTTAATTAGGGTTTCAACCACACATAAACCAGCAGTAGTACCATGATGATATATATTTATATGAAGAAGTAGTACATTAGCGTTTTGATTTCATCACATAATTAAACTGTCTCGAGACTTGGGAGTTTCTCTAACATATGTATCAGAAGTAAATGGATGCATGATTTCCGCTGTAGACGAACACGTCACTGTTATTATCATCGTCTTCTTCCTCGTCTTCGTCTTCGTCGTCGACTTCTTCTTGGTGGTGGTGATCGCGGCTGTCGACGGTGTGAGCAGCGTGGCCGTCGCCGAAGGCCCGTACATGGTCTTTGAGGGATCTCTTGTGCTTGAAATCGGAGCCACAGATACAGAACCAGAGCCTGCCGCAGTTCTTCTCGTGAGTCCTCCAATCCCCTCTCACGGCGAACGCCTTGCCGCACTTCCGGCAGCCGAACGGCTTCGCTCCGTGCTTCCGCTTGTAGTGTGTCTGAAGGGTTCTGAAATCCTTCAATGGCCTCGACCTCGGATGCTGGATGTTGTTCCGGCAACCTTCGGCGCAACAATAACATGGAAGTCTCAGAATCGAAGACGCTGGCCTGGCCCCTCTCAGAGATTCTGGGCCTTTCCTATACTGCGATCCATGTCCCCACATATGCATCTGCATTAATAATACAGTTAAGATTGTCGATCCATGTTGTAACACAAACAAATTGATCGAACTCGATGATAGAAAAAACACATGTTAGTTAATTTGTGATTATAAAAATATCTAATAATCTTGTTACTTCGAAAACGACTAGTCAAAATGATACTTCCATGGCTAAACTCTAAAAAGCTAGCTCTTTAGAGCCCTGGGACCCCAACATAATTATTTTGTGATTATAAAACAAGAGTGTCTGATAACTTGTTTTGCTGAAAATGGCAATAATTAATAATAAATTACTCAAAAAATCGCGGGTCAAATGAGCATATCTGAACTCCCAAATTGGCAGGGAAAACCCCAATCGAATAAACTGCTTCCAACAAGGATTATATCTTTATAAAGAACATGAGAAGATCTTTTTTAAGAAAAAGTCGAGATCGATCACTACTTAGGTATAAAATCTTAATCCGGGTCCGTTAATTACCTAGCCGAGTCGACCCTTACATAGACCAGGAGATGAATTCAAATGTGCCAGTACACTATAATTTTATTTTTGTTTGTTTTGCAGGTTGAATGGAGCAATGATTACCTGCATGTTGTTGAAACGGTTGAAGGTCTTGTTGCAGACAGAGCAAGAGAACTGGGTGGGCCCGATTAGGATCTGAGAAGGAGAAGGAATCCAATACTGACCCGGAACATGACCCGAAGAAGAACTCATTAATGGGTCGGGTTTGCCAGAGCTTCCAGCAGCGTTATTATTAGAGGCAGGAAGGCCGATATGAAGCGCGACGGTGACGCCAACATCAGAGTTAGGGTTTTGGTGGTGATGAAGAAGATGAGGATGATGGTGCAGAGATACGACGTCGTTGGATGAAGAGGATGTGGTAGCAGTAGTGGGGTTCATGAGCTTGGAATAAGTATTATTAGTAAGGTGGTGGTGTTGGCCAGGAGGTCCAAGAGAGAGGGAAATGGAGTGTTCGTCGTCAAGTAGTTGTTCATCAGTAGCTTCCAGACATGTCGACGATAAGTAGGAGAAATTAGAGTACTGATGAGTCTGCATGGTGATCGATGACGATGACGGCGAGTAATTATTCCACACAGAGACACAGCAGGGAGATAGAGATAGAGAGAGAGAGAGTGGAAGTGTGAGAAAGCAAGTGGGGACGATGGAGGCTATAAATAAAGGAGCCTCTTGTGGTTGTGGATTTGTAGAGAGCTTTTAGGAATTTCATTTTCAATATTAACCCTACACCTTAGCTTCTTGTAATGTAGGTTTTACTTGTGTTAGTAGTAGTTAGTACATATTACCTCCGGTCTTTAATATAAGATCTTATTTGAGTTTTATTTTGGTTCTAAATATAAGACTTAATCTATTTGTCTTTTATATTTATGCATTTTTTTCCAAAGTAATCTTCTAATAATAGTAGTTCTAGTTTATATACTTGATTAGTAAGGATATTTTAAAAAAGACAATACTTATTTATTATAAATAACTAACTTAACTTCTTCTCTTAATCTACTCAAATTAGTCAATTAACTTTTATAATTAGGACCCGAGGTAGTATATAGATTCTCAAGCATGTTTATTTGGGTAGGAAAAAAGAAGAGATCTTGGAGAATAGATATTCTCAAAAGCGCTTATCAATCCAGCTTCTCCTCAAACCAAAGTCTTGTATACCTCTCCAAAACATGATTTCTAGTTTATTAATCACTTTTTTTTTTTGGGTGTTGGGATGACTGTGGAGTAGTTTTGCTTGAAATGTGGATAATCATGCACCTTGAGTCAAGTGGCATAATAACTCCCTCTAAATAGGAGATCACAATGCTAATTAGAACTTGAGGCCCTTATTACCTGCCTTTCTCATTCAAAAAAGAAAGAAATAGGAAATGTATAGATTAAAAACCCGTTTATTAGTGAGTATTTAATTATAAAGAGGTTGTTAAAAGGTGAGAAGGGTCATAATAATATATATATATTTACAAGGTACTCCTCGACTCCTATCGATAAGACACTTTCATTATGTTTAACACATATCAAGAAAAACATTAAACTATATTAACTCTTCATTAAAATATATAACAACTTTTTAACTTTATCCTTGTTTAATGTATGTACCTTTATAAAAATAACTATTTACACTATAATAAATGAATCACAAAATAACACACTTATACTAAAAATTTAATAAAATAACTTATAAATAGAGGAAAAAAACCTTCTCTTTTTATCTTTATAAATAAGACCAGAGATTGGCCTAAAGTGTGAGATAATGATGATGAAGAGATTAGGGTTTATATATGGGTGCGGTGGCAATTGAATGGAGGAATTTGGAAAGGTGTGAGACGGGAGGAGACAAGGGAGCGGCAAAGAAGGAAAAAGGAATGCATTGAATAGCGCACCAAATACTTACAGTACCAAACCCCATCGATCACTACCCCTTCTCTTCTCTTCTCTCCTTCCACCTTTTATTTCATCTTCCTTTGTTTCTCATTTCTTATATAACTACACTGGCCCCACCCTTCGGATATATATACACATATATATTACAGAATAAGTGTGTTTGATTCGTCTCTCCCAATTGAAAATGGAATAAAAATCATTTACCATATAAGCTGATCTATGTTTGGATATAAAAACCTAGTAAACAGGAGTTATTTTTCATTCTAACATACGTACATCAGACTTGATTAAGCTAGTTTTTTGAGTTGATCCAAACAAGTACTACAAATTACAGTATCTCTCTCTCTCTCTCTCTAAAAGGAACTCACAGTCTCTGGGACACACAAACCCAAAAGTGAGAGTGAGTGAGCGATGCATAAGCACAAGTCTCTTTCTCTAATTCAGACAGACACAACAAAAACACAAAGCCACAAGCTGATGAGAGTGAATCATACCATAAAACGTACACAGTAAGTAGACATGGAGAACTGTAGATTGCGAGGCCTCTCTCTCTGTCTCTCTCTCTCTCTCTAACTTTTCTTACCAAAAGGATTGATGATAGTGATAGTGATGGTGAAAAAGAGAAGTTACCTGCGTTGTGAAAATAATTACGTCTAAAGACACATCTCACACAGTTCCATTATCTCTTTAGGTTTAACTCATGGTTGTCAATGTCATATATATGGATGTCCATGATTTATATATATATATATATATGAATGTCTGTGCGTGTGTGTATGTGTATGCACCTGTACGTACCCTGATCATTCAAACTCATAAATATTATTATTATTACTCGTATCTTTTTCCCCTGAACATAATTCATGTTGCTTTCAAAACATGAAAGTGACTGTTGGATAAGTTTTACTTTATTATCTCCACCTTATGTATCAATCCATTTGATTCTTTTTCTCTTTTTGGCCAACATTATACTCCTTCGGTCCTTAATACAATACCCATTTTACTAATTTGATTAGATTAAAGAAGTTAGGTAAGTTAGTTAATTATAAGAAAAGTGACACATTTTTCCTAAAACACCATAATCATTTTTCTTAATACCCCATCTCCCTCTTCTACTTGATTATGATTGAGGAAGTATCCATAGGGGTAATTTAGAGAAGATTAATAAATATGAGAAATAGGTCTTATATTTAGGACCAAAACTAACTCAAGAATTGGGTCTTATATCAAGGACCGGAGGAGTATATCAATATCCATGTAGCTGACTTCACCTAGTAGGATAAGGCTTATTGTTATTGTTGTATATATCAATATCCATTTGATTGAAACAAGACAAATTTTACAGGTTTAATAATATCAAATAATGGCGGACAAATTTTAATTTGTTGAAAGCCAATCACCCAATGGCATGCTCTTATATATCAACGAGATCGATGACTTATGTCATTAATTACTTCAAAGAGAATCGCATACACACACACACACATCTCATCTAATGAAAAGATTTAATTTGATGTTGATCATAGAGCCTAAAAATTTTATGCATCTAGCTTTAGTTTTCATTTAAGTATATAGACTATAAATAATGCATACCTTTTTCACTTGTCATAAGGCTTTTTTTTTTCATGCTAAACAATAAAGGGTCAAATTAAACACATGGGCCGCACTTATGGGCCAGTGGGCCAAGCTCTGATTTGACAGCCCAAACCTAGGATTGTGCCATGCATTATTACTGTTAAATTCTATGGGAAAAATTACAAAGCACACAAAATTAAGTCATATAAAAAATGGCGTATACGAGTAGTAATATCACAATCCTTAATCGTATTATAATGTTCGTCTACAAAGATACTTGTGAATCTCATGGAAAATAACAATAGTATGTTGTTATTTGTTATATATTTCGACTGTTTAAATTAAAATTTAGATGATCCAAGTAAATGCAAACTAATTTTAGGTCTAAATAATTCCATCATTTAAGTTATAAAAAAATTAAATGTATTAGATGCATCTTTTAGTGTCATTATTTTCTTATTAATTATTGAGTAAAGTAGCATTCAACACCTTAATGTTATTTTTTTGGTACTTCTAAAACCTAACATTATCCATAAATCATAAATAAAATTAAAGTATTGAATATGATGAAAAAATAACATCTAAAGGTGCTAGATGCATTAAGAAAAGAACATTACAGTGCTGAATTAAATAAAATTAGAATACTAGAAAATATCATGCATGGGAGATGCTACTTTAACCTTAATTATTTTTATTCATATCCCTAGGTTATTGGGTACAAAAGGTTGGCTAGTGATAGCTCTCAAAATAAAGTTAAAAGGGGCTGCATGGTTCACTGTTTTGTTTCTATTTGTGGAAGGGCCTTGATTTGATGTTTCCCTGAAATTTCCAAGCACATGCATGTTGGTCAAGTCTTCCTATATTTATTGGAAATCATCGAATCCTTTGTAGTTAGTACAAATGTACGCAACTGCTTTTTTTTTATTACTATTTATATACATACCTATTACTAATTTAATTTAGATTTAATTATTATTAGGTCTAGATGCAACTAGTTTTCAGATACTACTATAATTTTTTTATAGCTATCAAATGTCTTTTCACTTCACTGAACTAAGGAACCTTTACTGATATCAATATATATTTTAATATCCATTCAAATAGAAATCACATTTATTCAAATATATGTGTGCAATGCAAATGAAAAACATATGTAATTTCAATATGCAAACTAAACATTTATCATTTACTCAAATAAATATTTACTCTCCATCTATTTTTTCAATCTATTATTTAATATTTAACACACAAATTAAGGGGGGAAACCTAATACGTCACAATTTAAATATACTCTTAATTATTTTCTTGAAAATTATAAACAATATCAAAATCTTAAGAACTATATACAGTTTTATTTAAAAAGAACAAAAATGAGAGGAATATTCAAATATGCACCAAAGAAGCAGTCAAACTCAAACTGGTACGACTGAAAACAGTGAAGTCTCAAACATTAGTTAGTAGTGTCATTTATTCACTGGGAAGATAAATTAAATGACAAGTACTTGGACCACATTAAACGCAGTGACGTAACGGCCTTATAACCGCAGCATCCAAGAGGGGAAAAAAAAAAGGGTCAGATCAAAAACAAAAAAAAAAAAGAGGAAAAAAAGGGGGAACAATTTCCAAGAAATATGATCAAACATTAAACACGTTTATAATTACGTCATATAGTCTACATTCTGAAACTACCCTGGATTCTATTAATTAATTAACTAAGTGCTTTTTCCGTACCGTGTCAAATCTTAAAAATAATAATTTTCTCTCCATCATATGCTTCTGCCGATATTTAATATAAAAGATATTTAAGTAATTTAAGCATATTAAAAATTTCAGACAAGTTAACTAATTATAATAATTGTAACGTGATCTCTAAAATGTTCTGTAACATTAGATTATACTTTTTTCGATTCAAAATATAAACTAAACTTTATTAAAAAGGTTGGTTTTTTTTATAAGATAACATTCACTTTTATCCAAATATTTAATGAGTTTTTTTCCAATTTTACCCCATATATTCTTTTTTTTTTAATTCATTTATTATATCTTTTACTTGTTATCTTCATTAATAAGGGTATATTAAGAAA